GAACAAAGATGGAACCTCAGAGGAGGATGGGAGTATATGTTGGATATGATTCTCCCACAATAATAAAATACCTTGAGCCAACTACTGGTGATATGTTTAAGGCTAGGTTTGCGGATTGTCATTTTGATGAATCCCAGTATCCAGCATTAGGGGGAGATTATGGTAAGCTGGTAAAGGATATAAAATGGAATACAACATCCTTAACATGGCAAGATCCTCGGACCAAAGATTGTGATCTAGAGGTCCATAAAATAATACACTTGCAAGTATTGGCCAATAAATTGTCTGATTCCTTTGCTGACCCAAATAGAGTGACTAAGTCATATATACCAGCTGCCAATGCACCTATAAGAATTGATGTCCAAGAGAGACAAAGTCAAGTTGCTAATGAGTCTAGGCCACAACTAAAACGTGGTAGACCAACGTGGTAGACCAATAGGTTCAAAAGATAAGAACCCTCAGAAGTCCAAAATAGGTGCTGGACCCGTGGGCCAGAATGAAACAGTCCAAGACATTAGTGGACCGGCCGTACCGGCTGCTCTCACCAATTTGGTCGAGACAAGAAATCCGGACGGGCCAGGCTGGCCGTCTGGTCCAAGTGAGCTAGACGGGCCAAGCAGGCCATTCGTGTCAGGGAAGCCGGACGGGTCAAGTTGGCAGTCCGTGAGCACATAACCGAATGGGCCACATAGGTCGTTTGAGTCGAGTGGGCCAAACGGGCCGACTGTGCCAATGAATGTGGCCCGGGACGCTGGGCCTTATGGTACATATGGTCCTGACAATGAAGAGATCTCTATAAACTATGTCATGTCTGGAACTAAGTGGAACCGTAGAGAAGTCGAGCTCGGTGACATATTTGCTTATAATGTAGCACTTGAACTTATGAATAATGAGGATCATGAACCCACGTCCATACATGATTGTATGCAACGACCAGATTGGTTGAAATGGAAAGAGGCCATAAACGTGGAGTTAGAATCATTGAGAAAAAGAGGTGGGTTTGGGCCAATTATCAAAACACCTAAAACTGTAAAACCAGTTGGATACAAATGGGTCTTTGTGAGGAAAAGAAATGAGAAAGGTGAAGTTGTGAGATACAAAGCACGACTTGTTGCACAAGGATTCTCACAGAGACCAAGAATAGATTATGAGGAAACTTATTCCCCTGTGGTGGATGCTACGACCTTCAGATTTTTAATAAGTCTGGCCGTGAGAGAAGTTCTAGATCTAAGGCTGATGGATGTTGTCACAGCCTACTTGTATGGTCCACTGGATAATGAAATCTATATGAAAATCCCAGATGGTATTGAACTGAAAAAGAAAGGATGTTCTCGAGAACAACATTGTATCAGATTGAACAAGACTCTTTATGGATTGAAACAATCTGGTAGAATGTGGTACAATAGATTGTTTGAGTACCTCATTAAGGAGGGTTATAAAAACGACCAGATTTGTCCTTGCATATTCATAAAGAAGTTCAATAAAGGCTTTGTGATCATTGCATTCTATGTAGATGATCTCAATATCCTAGGAACCTCTGGAGAGATTTCCCAAACAGTAGAATATCTAAAAAAAGAATTCAAGATGAAAGATCTTGGAAAAACAAAATTTTGTTTGGGGTTACAACTTGAGTATATGAAAGATGGAATCCTTGTGCATCAAATGGCATATACAGAAAAGGTATTCAAGAAGTTTAATATGGACCAATATCACTCATTAACTAACCCCATGGTTGTGAGAAGTCTAGAACCGGATACTGATCCGTTTGGTCCAAAGAAGGACAATGAAGAAGTCCTTGGTCCCGAAATGCCATATCTCAGTGCCATAGGAGCTCTAATGTACTTGGCCTGTCACACTCGGCCAGATATCAGCTTTGCTGTGAGCTTACTATCAAGATACAGTTCTTGTCCGACCCAAAGGCACTGGAATGGGATAAAACACATACTTCGTTATTTGCAAGGAACGAAGGACTTGGGTTTATTTTATACTAACCAAACTAAGAATGGTTTAGTTTGTTTTGCTGATGCATGGTACTTATCTGATCCTCATTGTGGTAGATCTCAGACTGGTTATGTGTACACACATGGTGGAACAGCAGTGGCTTGGCGGTCCATGAAACAGACCATGACAGCCACATCGTCCAACCATGCCGAGATCCTGGCCATACATGAGGCAAACCGCGAGAGTGTCTGGATCCGGGCCATGACCAAGCACGTCCAGGCCACATGTGGGATGACCAGAAACCTCGACCAGCCACTTGTGATTTATGAGGATAATGCAGCCTGCATTGCACAGCTCAAGGATGGATACATAAAAGGCAACATGACTAAGCACATTTTGCCTAAGTTCTTCTTCACACATGATCTCCAGAAGGCCGGTGAGGTTCAAGTCTTGCAAGTTCGTTCAAGTGAGAATTCAGCTGATCTCTTCACCAAGTCTTTGCCAACCACGACCTTCAGGAAGCTAATCCATCAGATTGGGATGCGCCAGCTGAAGGACCTTCAGTGATGCATCCATCAAGGGGAGTTCCATGTGTTGTACTCTTTTGTCATGTCCTAGGTTTTCCCTTTTTACCACATTGGGTTTTGGGTTTTACCAGGAGAGGTTTTAATGAGGCAACATCCAAAGCATGGAATAAACATTGGCCGGATATATCAACCAAGGGGGAGTGTTATAAAATGGAAATGATGGTTGGGACATATCCTGGATATGAACCAAGCTCATTTCACTTTAGTATACTTCAGTCTACTTCCACTACTAGATCAGGCGCTAGCTTGCTTGTCATTATCTACTCGTCCCCTTTGTATTTATCCTAGATATTGTAGTAGTTATCCTAAACCCATAAGGTTTGGGATTATCTCTTTACTTGTAATCCTTATCTAGTTAGGATTATGTTTATCACCAGTCTTACAGGCGGTTTGTGTACCCATATATATATATGGGACTTTTGAGCTTAATGAAAGATAAGTTATTACCTTCTTAATCTCAACAAATACTATTTTTAATAAAAATCTCAACACTATTTTAAATAAAAAATCTATTAAAAAAATCTTTTAAATAACATAATAGTAACCTTATTTTAGAATAACAAAATCTCAACACTAGAAGAAATAAGTAATATTTATTCATAACAAAACACAAAATACAAAAAAAGTATGAAAATATTAAATTAAATATAAATGTAAAAAGAAGAATTCTAATCTCTATAATATTATTTGAGAAGTCAGTTTCCTACGTGTCGCGCTCACGTTAACTCTCGCGATGGTTGATTACATAGATACCCTTAATAAATTAAAAATACAATTAAATATTATTTCCTTTTTAAAAAATTTCCAAATAACAATATAAAATAAATAGGAAACATTAATAAAATTTACAAAATATTTAAAAACGAAAATATAAGTATATATAATATGGTTTAATAAAAAAAGGAAAGTTCACAAAATAGTAATATTTAATTTAAATATATTTTAAATAACATAAAATATACCTTTGAAGTAATAAAATACTTTATATCTATATCTTCTTAGATAAAAAAACAATATCTGTATATAATGTGATTTCATAAAAAAAATTCACACAACAAAAAATATTGCTATTAGAAAAAGAAATATTTTTTCTTTAAAAAAATAATTTTAAACAATAAAATATATATATTTTCAAAATAATTATTTTTGTATTTATCTATCTATTTTATTAGATGATTACATAAAATAATCAACTAACATAAACTGATATATGTTTAATTGACATTTTTTTATAATTCGTATTATTGAAATTATTTTAGTATATTTATTTGACTATAATATCTTACAATTACAGTAAAAATATAAATTCTATTTTACTTATATATTATAATTTCTCAAAAACAATCATTTTTTGCTGACTATTTTAAGAGATACTAAAAATAAAACTAAAAATAAAGTTTATAATAAACATCTTTTGATCAAGTAACTACAATTATTTTAAAATATCATAACACTATATAATTTAACGAGGTAGATAAATTATATTTTAATAGTTAAAATTATCTGTTTTAAGAATAAGGATTCTGATTTACTTAAGTATTTTGATTATGGTTATATTAAGTTTCACAAACATAAAAACAGAAAATAACTACAATTATTTTAAAATACCATAACACTATAATTTTTAACAAGGTAGATATATTATATTTTAATAGTTAAAATTATCTGTTTTCTTAATAAATCTTTTGATTTTTAATTTTCTGTTTTTATGTTTGTGAAACTTAATATAACCATAATCAAAATACTTAAGCAAATTAATTCAGAATTCTTAGTTTTAAAATTATTTAAAATAAATTTCAGTTAACCATCCAATCAATCTAAAGCATAAATTTATTTAGAATTTATAAAATATTTTAATTATTGTAAATATTGATATATGTTCAAAAGGTTCTAAAAATTCATTAGTTACTTATGTATGTAATTTAGAATCAGACACTTTAGTTTTTATTTTTTTCCTTCTAAGCACAAAAAATCTTAAGTTATATATAATCTTACTAAATATACTTATATTTCTAAGATAACAACTAGCATCAATGCAAATAAGACAATTAATAAAAAAAATATTTAAAATATAAAAGATTATAGTTGAATTCAGAGAAATATATAGAATCCAATATATCTAAATGATAACTAAATCGACCGTAAAACAATAAAAGAGACTAAATATAACATATCTAAAATTATATATATAATTAAATAATATAAATTAGACATACAAACTATAAATTAATTTAAAAATTAAAGTAAATATCAATCAATTATTACTGTATATTTATTTTATAAATATACATGCCCGTGCATGAGCACGGGAAAATCACCTAGTAACTAAAATAAAACTAATTACAAAGGTGAATCAAAGATTCATTATAGATAAAACATAGAAAGAAAGTAAAATAAATTTAAAGCATACAAGGTATTAAATGATTTACCTTCTCCTCTCAGTTTAAAACGACAACGTTTAACAGGGATTGCTGGAGACTTTGAACTTATTAGGAAGAGAGACTCGTTCTTTTCTTCGTCGGCTGCTACCAAGTCTGAAAAGATGCAGGTACGATTTCTCGATCGGAAACCCTAACTCTCGCATCACTCTTTAAGCCTATCTTTCTCCTTCTTTTTTGTTTATTAGTTTCTAACAAATAGCTTCAGATGAAATTGGGAACAGCTTCCTTTAGCTTGAGGCTTTTCTTATGAGATCTTATGAATATCTTTAAGATTTGTTTTTATCCTAAGGATAGATCTAAATTTTCTTTGAATTCCAGATCTTGTTTAATATGTTGTAAGATTGTTTTTTTTTGTGTGTGTGGGTACAGGCAAGTGATAGGTTTAACATCAATTCTCAGCTTGAGCATCTTCAAGCTAAATATGTTGGAACTGGTCATGCTGATTTGAGCAGATTGTGAGTTTCTTTAAAATTTTAAAGAGTTTTTTCTGGTGTTCTGTCGAATTTAAAATGTTTTTTAAAAATTGTGGGCAGTGAGTGGGCAGTAAACATTCAGCGTGATAGCTATGCTTCATACATTGGTCACTACCCAATGCTTGCTTACTTTGCTATCGCTGAGAACGAGTCCATTGGACGCGAACGCTACAACTTCATGCAGGTTTGCTCCTTGTTTTGTTCTTCTTACTAGGAATCATATCCCTAAAGTTTTGTGTTGTTTTATTTTTTCTCTCTATACATTGTTATTATGTCCCTGTTTTCATTCTCTTACTGATTCAAGGATTTAGATTTATGATTCTGTGGCCATTTTGATTAGGAATGTATCATTTTCATTGGTTTATCTCGTTTCTTTTCTTTTAGTTTCAAGATTTACAGCAGACTCTTGGCATATGTTTGTTTCTTATAAAAACAATGTATGTTCATTTAAATACATAAAATATTCTTTGGAATAATTCAGGGGATGTCTTTGTGATTTGCAGAAAATGCTGTTACCGTGCGGCCTTCCTCCAGAGAGAGAAGACGATTAGGGGGAGGATTTGATTTTCTCATGGAAATGTTTAGTTTGGATTCAGAGAGTGATACAATTGTCTGATTTGGTGTTCTGTTATAAAAAAACAGTTACGTTGCTTGTCTTACATTCGTTTATGCAGCGATGATAAAAGTTCACCCTCCAAAATACTGTAAATAGTTCACCACCGATTTACAGGACGAAAGCACAGTGAATGGGTTCTTATGTCTGTCTGTGTTTGGCCCCCAACATTTATGGAACCATCCATGTGGATTACAAAGAAGACATCACACCGTTGTGGGAATTATTGCTTAATCGACCTTATCTTCAAACTATGCAACAATTGTTCTGCATTTGGTAATATGAAATTTGAAATATCTGCTGGATAATATCACCTCTAGATTCAGACTAAGAGATTGGGCTGTGAAATCTGTCTGATACTCTGATCTAGGACGAACTCAACTTATAAGCCTATGTCTTCTCTGACACAGATATTTGATATCATTAACTTCTAATTTTCACTTTTATTTTGCTAAAAAGTTGCATAGAACAGATTGAATCTCTTTGTGCCAGATTTCTTTGGTCTGGAAGTAATGATAAAAGTAACCATGCAAAGTCAGCTATTTATCTGTTCTCTGTAAGATGTTCATCTGGCTGCTTTTTTCCTTCACTGGTTCTCTGTGGGTGGCTTGGTATAGGACCATCTATTTCGGAAAAGTTTCTAAAACTAATTGGATAGAAAATGATAATACTTGGAGCTGGACATGTATTTTGTGGGTTCGAAATCTTTGGGGTACAATTTGCAAAAATTCAATGGACTAAAAGAAAATTTCAGACTAGATCACTAGACCTCGTTTGGTCCCTTGATTACTATCATAGGTGATGATAGTCCATGGAGATTTGTTAATCCTATCAAGCTAATGTTATTACTGCTACTTATAATAGCAATTGATCAAACCTAAGAACATACAACTATGTTGCCTTACACACCTTCCTATCGATCATGACTTCTCCCTTAAAATCTGAACCTACTGATTTTTACTGATTGTTACGGTTGTTGCTGCTAGTTATAATAGCAATTGATCAAACCTAAAAACAGACAACTCTGTCGCCTTACACGCCTTCCTAATGACCATGACTCCTCCCTTAAGATTTGAACCTACTGATTCTTATGGTTTAATCATCACTTGAGGGGGGCTGTAACGGTTTCTCATCATCTAGGACGTGGGAGTTTCTAAGACTAACCTGGCTAACACATGATCAGATTTTATCTGCATGGTTCAAAGGTTCAACACCAAAGCATGCTTTCTTGATGTGGATTGCCGATCAAGACATACTACTTGTACAAGTCGGAAAACCAAATTGACATAAGCATTCTAAGTAAAAGTGATTTGAAGGTTAAACTCCAATGAAAGACTTGTTTAGGAAAATGAAGGCTAGACTTGTATAGGTATGTTTACGGTCAAAACGAACACAAACTTAAAACCTAGATGAGACTTCATTTAAATTTTCCTTAAAATCAGTTGGGTTTGTTGCAGTGGCGGAACCAGCCAAAAGATTCATCAGAGGCAGTATAAAGTTGAACCTAAACATGAGTGGCATTAGAAGATATTTTAGCACTTGCTCATAAAATTTTCAAAAATAATCAGTGAAAATATTTTTTTCCAACAATTCATATGGGGCAGCTGCCCACTTTACCTCCTCTCTACATCCGTCACTGGTTTGTTATCGTAAACAAGTTGTTATGTTAAACATGTTGTTATGTTAAGCATGTTGTTATTTTTTTCTATGTTTACGGTCAAAATGAACATAAACTTAAAACCTAGATGAAACTTCTTTTAAAATTTCCTTAAAATCAGCTGGGTTTGTTGAAGTGGTGGAACCAGCCAAAAGATTCATCAGAGGCAGTATAAAGTTTCAACCTAAACATGAAGGCATTATAAGGGATTTTAGCACTTGCTCATAAAATTTTCAAAAATAATCAGTGAAAATATTTTTTTTTCCCAACAATTCATATGAGACAGCTGCCCACTTTACCTCCTCTCTACATCCGTCACTGGTTTGTTGTCCTAAACAAGTTGTTATGTTAAACATACCGATATACTTTTGAATCCTTTTTTGTTTCGTCAAAGCCTGATAAAATTTGTATTTTTTTTATCTCAGCATGTATGTCAGAAATTTCTAATTTGTATCACTGTAGGCTCTTTTAGTTTCCTAGAAACCTCCAGAATTTCTTCATGTGTTTTTAAAACATCACTCTGTATCTCCTCTAATGCATTATGTAAGTTACTATTATTTTTCCATGTAGCAGGTTCGATTTTGGCCAAACCGAGATCTCATGCCTACATATATGTATTTTATCCAATACTCCCATATTATTCAGTGACAGCCAAGTGGACCATCCTCTTACAAAATCATCCATTAGAAATTTTGGTATTTAAAGCAAGAATAAGATTTTTACAAGGAAGGAGATTATGCCATTCATCAATCCCCATTCTCATGTCCAACCAACACCAAATAATTTAACTTTTTCATCTCTCAAGAAATTTTGGTATTTACAGAAAGAATGAGATTTTAAGTTTTATTTTAACAACATATAAAGATTTTGTGTGTTTTTGGCAGAAAAATATAATTTTACAGTTTTGACCGAAGTAAACATTTTAAGTTTAGCGAGAAAATAATATTTTACTCTTTTGGTAAGAAAAATCATATTTAATATAGAAATTTTTGATTTTGTGTTTATTTGGAGAACAATATTTTATTTTTGTTCGAAAAACACTAGTTTGCGTATTGGACAAAAAACCTATTTTAATATAGAAAATTTTGATTTTGTGGTTTCAAAAAAAAATCCTTTCTTTTTACATTTAGCAGAGAAATTTGAGTTTAACCTTTACAGAAAAAAACTTAATTTGTATAAGTGAACAAAATTTAAATTTAATTTGTCAAGACCATATATTAATATTTTTATGAAAAAGGGATAGTTTATCGTTAGTTTTAAAATAAAATAAAGAGGCTAATTTAAACATATTAAACTCAAGAATCAATTATAACCAGCTTATTACAGCCTTTACAAAATCCAAAAAAATGTTTACATGGCTGACAAAATCCTTTGTCAAATTAAAGTCCATTTCAACATCCGCCCATTTCAACATCAGGGTAGCAATAAATACACGTAGCTACCATCCTCTCTATTCACACTCCATTTTTAAAAACCTTAGATCCAAATCTTCATATCAATTCACTGGAATCACTGCAACATGAGTGAGACCAAGGGTGGCCAGTGCGGTGACCAGATCGGTGTTGAGTTATGGCAAGTGATCTGTCGCGAGCACGGCATAGATCCAACAGTTCGTGGCGATGAAAGAACGGTGAAAATGAGGAAGGTGACGAACATAGTGATATAGAGATGGTGAAGAAAAGCAAGAAAGTAAAGAAGAGAAGAGCATAGTTTACTATTGTTTCGTTTCCTTCTTTTTCTTTTAGTTTCAAGACATATCTATGTCGTGGTGTTTTTTTTTAATCTAAAATCATTAAGTTTTTAGCGTAGAAATGAAGATATAGCAGAATCTTAGCATATGTTTTTTTTTTTTGCTGAAATTTCGTGCATATATTATAAAAGAGACAAAAACATACATAATGTGAGAATATTACATTGCTCTAGTGGAAAAGTTAGTAAATTCATTCTGAGACCCAACGAGTTTTGGCCCGAAGTAGGAATAGCCCAAAGAGAATCATGGCCTTGGATACTTTTGATGAAGGAGATAAGGCCCAATATCAGATTCTTTTGTCGTTGTCTTTTGTATTTGTTTTTCTCCGAAGAGTAATCGAAATGTCTCAAGCAAGAGAAAGCCAGAGCTGCATGCACGCACTCAAATCTATCGGATCAGATTCACACAGTGATGAGAATGGTTTTTGATGGTGGAAGAGATTGTTGAGAGAATAGCATCCTGCGACTTGAAGTGAGATCGATGGAGCCTGATGTTGCGCTCACGCCATAGTTCATGAATCAGAGCTTGCCAAGATAGAATTGTGAGATAGCGCAGTCGATTGTCTCCATTGTAACGGATCAGAGCTTGCAAAGTGTCATCCCAATCATTTGAGGTAATGGTAAGTCGTAGTTTGGAGGCAAGGTTTCTCCAAATTCCTGAGGAGAATGGGCAACAGAAGAAGAGGTGGTTCCTGCTCTCTGGTTGTAAATTACACAGAATACATAGAGGGTCTGTCTGCAAACCCCATGACAGTAACCTATCGCGTTTACGACACCTATTTAGCACAAACATCCAAGTAAGTGTCTTAAATTTTGGAACTCCCTTCTTCAGCCAAACCACACGATGCCAAGGAACCATTGGATTTGATTCCCTTATGTAGTTGTAGACTTTAGCTGACACAAATTTGTTGTTTGTTGCAGGTGTGAAACTTAAGTTGCTCAATTCTAGAGTGTCCTCATAATCTGTAAGAGTTACAGTTGACAGAAAAACTTGAACCTGCTCCATCTCCTGTGATCTTGCTGGATCTATATCCCAAGAATCTCCAACCCACAGCGATGCTAAAGATGAAGAGAGCGGAATACCTTACTGTCTCGGTCCATTATGACCAACAAAGTTGATTAGCTGGCCGAATGGAGACCAAGGCATTGTCCAGAAGAAGATTGAATTCCTAGTTCCTAGTATTATTCTCATCCAATTAATTGCAGTTTGTCTCAATCTCGGTATCTGCTTAAATAACCAAGTCTGTGACTGGTTCTCTTTCATTGACCAAAAGCATTTATCTTTAATAATATTCGGATGGATCCATGCTACCCAGACATATTATGTTTTAAAGAAGAGCATCCAGAATAGCTTTAAAGTGCAAGTACGGTTCCATGATGCAATACTTCAAAGGCCTAATCCCCCTTCTTCCTTAGGCGTCGTAACATACTCCCATGCCACGCGAGTTGTGTATTTTCCATCCAGATTGCCTTTCCACAGGAAGGTTGCACACATCGAGTCGACCTAGTTAATGCATTCCACATGAAGGATGAAGGCAGCGCACCAGAAATTAATAATCTCTGCGATCACTGAGCTTAAGAGTTGAAGTCTGCCCGCAAAGGACATGTACTTTGTTGTCCAAGAGCTCATATTTTACTTGATTTTTTTTTGCAGCAGAGGTTCACAATTAATGAGCGAAAGCTTTTCTGTGTTCAATGGGAGGCCTAGGTATCACATAGGAAAGAAACCTTGCGAGATTCCGGTTGAAGTAACCAGCTCGCCAATCTCCATGTTTGAAAGGCCAGCAGAGAAGAGACAAGATTTCTGAGGACTGATTCCAACCCTGAAATTTCCTGGAAGTCTGAAAGGACGGAGATGATGCCTTGAATTGAGGCGGGGGAACCATCTGAGAAGATCAAGAGGTCATCTGCAAAGCACAGGTGGGTAAGTTTTGACTCTTTACAGCGTAGGTGATGTCCAAAGATTCCATCCTCTGCTGATTTATTAAGCTTATGTGACAACACATTCATTTCTATGCCAAACAGATAGGGGCTTAGAGGGTCTCCTTGACGTAACCCTCGAGTACCACGGAAGAAGCCGTGGAGTGAACCATTAATTCCAACAGAAAAAGCC